GCCGGCTACGCGTCTCTTCAAAAGGACTACCAGTTTTTGTAGTAGCTGAAAGGAAGACAAACAGCAACGCAGATGGCCAGAATCTCAGCAAAGCGGCCACGCAGCTACGGCCGGCGGCCTCTCCAAGAAGCGACCAACTCATCCATCTCTGCATCCGCGAAGTCCTGCAAGCCTTTGCCACCTAGCTCAACGTGGTGCGAGCGTCGCCTGTGGCTCGGCCACTGTTGGTCAGAGTGGCCCGCGAGGAGCCATCGTTTCAGGCGTAGAACGCAGTCAGCATCAGTCAGTGTGCTGCTGCGGCTCACGGCCTTCTTGCAAGACAGCGTGTTCCCTTGATCGCAATGCTGTCCGCAAATGGCTCCCCACCCACCCTGGTCCGCGGCCGGGACGATCGGCGCGATCTGAAATGGACCCCAAGGAATGGCTCTGGATTGCAGCTTGCGCTTCACAGGCGGAGCAGGCCCACTGGAAGCAGCAGCGGCAGACCCTGGTCCTGCGGACGAACTAGCCGACCCTGGTCCTGCGGACGAGCTGGCAGGATTCGCCTCGACTTCCTCTGCTTCCGAGGCCGAATCTGAGCCCCAGCCTTCCGAAAAGGAAAGGTCGTCGTCGCCTTGCAAGGCCGGCGGCCGGCTGGCCTCTCCCTCTGCGTCTGCCTTGGCCTCTCTTCTGTCGCTTTGCGGCAACGATCAGCCCTTGGGCGAGCTTCGCAGCCCTTGCAGCTCTTTGGATTTGCCGCATTTCCTCTGCGGCTTGTCGCAGGGAGGCCCGTGTAAGTTCCTCGCACCGCAAGACATGGAAGTCTCCAAATCCGGAGCTCAAATCACCAAGGGATAGCTTGAACAGTGCCCAATCTGATGCGCTGCGCGCAAGCTCGTTGCAAAACTCAATGTCTGAACGCAAGAGGCGCACGCCGTGTCCGCGCTGCATCTTCAAGACAAAAGGAAAATTAATGGTAGGTGAAGGGATCTCACCGCGTGGTGAAGCAAGGTCATGCCGCTGTAGTCCACCATGGTCTCCAACTGTTCCGGCCTCAACCGCTCAATGCAGGAGGCGGCGGCGTCCCAGTCCTCCCGCATCAAAGCTCGCAGAACCTCGCCAGCGGCGGTTGCCTCCTTCTCCTTGTCAGACTGCTGCTCCAAGAGCTTCTCAAGGTTGCACTTGCGCAGGGTCAAAAGCTCAGAAAGGCGCTGGATGGCCTCTGGGGAGGCGTGCACGTTCTGCAAGCTCACATCGCTCCATTTGGCCTGGCCCTCGGCCTTCCTCTCCTCTTCTTCTTCAGCATCGCCCCAGTCAGCCTCCGAACGTGTCTCAGCGTCTGCTGCGTGCGCGCCCTCATCACCGCCAACGGCGCTCGCAGCAGGCTGCTCCAAAGTTGACTCAGGGGTGGAAGCTTTCGAGGAGAAGTGCATGACGCTGCCAAAGGCCGCTGGCCCGGTTCCTGTGGATCGCACGCAGGCCCCGCAGACACCGCCAAAGGCCGCTGGCCCTGCTCCTGTTGGCCCCGCCTCGAGCATGCTGGCAAGCCCGCTGGAGAAGGACGTTTCCTTGCAGGACCTGCAGGGCTTGATCACCTCTTTGGGCGCCCTCGATGCTTGCAGCGGCGCCTGTGTGGCCTGTGTGTGATCCACAGGAGCTGCGCCCTCATCCAACTGGCCTGGCTGGATGCTTTGCATCTCTTCCCTGCTCTCCTTTGCTTCAGCCTCAGACTCGACGGCAGAGAGGGACGTCCTCGGCTTCTTGGAGTCGGTGTCCGTCAGCATGGCCCAGCTCTCACAGGGCGATAACACTTTTGCTTGACCGCTTACTTCCGCACAGAAGCTATGTTCCCGGCTACCGGGGCAACGTTGACAAACAAGTAAGCCCGATTCCAACACTGCCCCGCTACGAAATGAATCACAGTTATACGAAATGAATTTGCAGCCCCCTGCCTCAGCTTCGCTGGCATCTCGCTTCGAAGACTCTCCTTCGCTGCCAACCCGCACGTACTGCTGCGACTCCGAATCGGAGTGAGCCTGTGAAACTGCCAAGTTCTACAGCCAGGCCAGCGGCCGCACATGGGGCAAACAGGGCTCCGAAACACATAAACAAAAGCAAAATAAAATTGAACAAACATAACATAACATATTGCTGCGCTGACAAGGTTTGACTTGACTGCGACCAAAAAATGAGCGGATAATCTGTAGCAAGCGGCAGGCACACGCGGCCTCGCGGCCCTCTTCGGCTTGGTGCCCACAGTTTCCTGCCCACAAGCCACAAACACATGAACAAACTGAAAGGTGACCAACTCAAGGCTTCGCATATCATATACTGAAAACACTTTATGCCAAAACAAACCACGAAAACGAAAACAACTGAAGAGCAACCCCAACGCTGACAAAGCCCCTGTCCGGAAAGCTCACGCCCATCACCGCTGCGAAGGCTTGGAACTCGCACGGAGTCCTCACATGATTCAGCATCAGCTTCTCACGGGGCTCCAGAGCATCATGCGCCGCGCGCAGGTCCGCCTCCTTGCTGCGCAGAAATTGAGCCGGCGTCAAGAGCGCCTGTCGAATGAGTGCCGGCCCCCCGGGTGCGCCGAATCAAAGTCGGTCATCTCGCGGATGGCCCGGATGTGCCTCATAACCTTGTCGGGATTTTCCCCCGTAATGAAGCACAGGAAGAGGGCGGTGATCTCCGCGGACCGGCGCGCGCCGTTTTTGCAGACCCAGCCTCCGGCCTTGATTTCTTGCCACACTGCATCGAGCATGGCGATCACATGGAACCATTTGATGTTCCCCTTGGCGACCGCTGTCCCATCATAGGTTCCCATGTGCTTCAAGCTCCCGGAGCGAGCCACAGGGACATTCGATGCGCAAGAGACAATGGCTGTGATGCCATTTTTGCGCAAGAACTCCACATTGCCAGCGGCGTGAATCGACACGATCCAGCATTCGCCGCCTCCGGGGGAAGTCAAGAGCAGCATGGGATGCCTGCGGCGCGGCCGGGGGCACCAAGTATGAAGCCTCCGCCAAAAAAGGATCCTGGTACTCGGCTAATGTTTGGATACAGGGTTTTGAAGGGATGAGAACTAGGGTCAAGCAATGTGCTGGCAAGAATTTCTTCATGCGACTTAAACACGAGATCAGGACCCGCATCAGCTGCACGGTCATCATCTTTCTTGGCAGCAGCGTCAATCATTGCTGCCATTTTTAAAAACCTCCTGGTCAGCGACCTTGCTTCGGCCCACTCCGCCTGAACGCCAACGGGCTCGGACTCCAAGAAAACCAAGTCCCGCTCCAGCGCAGCGCGCGTTCGCCGCCGTAGGGCTTGCACCGTGTGCCGGGAGTTCAGCACTCGAGAAGCACAAAAACAACCAGACAAATTCCCCAGCAAGTGCGCTAATTGTTCTACCACGTTCCCGTTCCTGTGCTGCGCACATAAAGTGGGCAGGAATAGGTGGTCGGCTGGAAGGGTGCTGTCGACATGCTTAAGCATTTTGATGTTTGCTGAATGGGAATCGCACGTAGTTAGCGTACAAGTGTGCTCGGCTGCCACGTTGCGTGGCCCGAGGCCTCCTGGATGCTCCGACAATGTTTTCCACATTGTGGCGCTATTCATTGGTGCCAAGATCTGCGGAGGTCGGACAACATGCTCGTCCCTGATAGTGGGTTGGCCGCCCGCCACGCTGGGAGGAGAGGCCATGGCCCACTGCGCATGCGAGCACAACACTGAGCAGCTGTTTGCCGGGTCTGTGCCAACCTTCAACGCAAAGCTAGACTCGTCAAACATCAAGCTTCTGATGAAAAACTTCAAAGGGCGGGCCAACGAGTCTGCTGCGACCTTCTCACAGCTTTGTTCTTGAAACCTGCAAGCCGCCGACGCGCAAGCAAACCGAGCATTTCGCGAATGGCTCGCAGACGCGCCCTCCACCTCGCTCGCTACCTGTCTGCAGGTCGCTGTCTCGTGCCCGAACCCAGCCCTAAGAACAGCTTCGGGCGTCCAGGTCTTCCACTTCCCTTTGCCTGTGGCAACCTTTCTGCTGAGCTCTGCATCTGGTAGCTGGTGATCCTGCGTGCGCGCCTGCCCTGTCTTGTTGAAGTGCTCGCTCTGCAAGACAAGCTGCCGTTTCTTGACCGCAAAGCGCGCCCCAGCCCGGCGGGCCTGCAGATTCGCCCTTTGATTGCGTTGCCTTAGGCCTCTTCCTCATGGCTGGCGCTGGGCTTGACCCCGGCCGCGCCGGCGCTCCCTCTCTGCGCCTTCACCGCGGCCTTCATTGCCCTGCGCGTCATATTCGTTGGCAAGCTCTAAAACCTGATCCAGCCCCAGGGCAGCCATTGAGCCAAAGGGCAGGCTGCGATGAAAATGCTTACCAAAGAGCTTCAATGTAACTCCTTCAGTATCTCACCAAGCAAATGTTTCCAAGATATTGCTTCTGGATTAAGTGACCGGTGATGTCGACAACCATTTCATTTGACTAACTTGCTGCCAAAGAAAAGAAGACATATTTCATCATGCACAAAAAGTTGTTTTGGAAATTTTCTCATTATTTGTGAAACTTGTTTTTAATTGAAAAATATGTTTCAAAAACTTGTTTAGAAACAGTCATTCTATCAAAAGAATATTCAACATAAATATGATTGTTTCAAAAGAACATTGTTGATTTTGAAAGTTGTTTGTCGCACCCCTGCGTGTGGACTACCGCACAGGCCTTTTTAAAAACGCCTAAGAAATAGAAAAGCCTCCAAAAAAAAAGAGGGAAAAGAAAAGCCTCTTTTACCGTGGATGTTGTTGCGAAATCCATGAAATCGCACCACGGTTCATGAGTTGCCATGGTTGAAACCATAGCGTTGGTTGGTATTTACGTTGGGGAATCGAATCATTCCAGGTCTTCTTAGGCGGTGCAGGATTTCGTCCATCCACAGTATGGTTCGGGAATCCCCTTTCAGTTCATTCCCAACACCTGGTGAAGGTCATTCCCTACCTATCGCACCAGCAAGAAAGGCTCACGGACAAGATACAGTGGACCTCCATCTTCTCTCCGCATTCATAGGTCGGGCCCATGTGAAAGATGTTGAAAAAGCCTCGCACACGGCAAGTGCACCTCTCCCTCTCTCGTGAGCCTTGCCCACTCCTTCTTGCCCGGAAAAGTTGATGGAGAACGGAGAACATGTTGCACCACAAATACCGAATCACCATGGAAAGTGGGCGACTCAACGGCATAAGTGAATACTGTCACATCTGACTTGCTCAGCTCATGCAATTGCTAACACAAGACTTCCGGAGAAGTGAAAGCTTCAGGAGCTTCCTCTTCGCCTTTCAAACATCTTGTCTGTCGGTCTGAAGGATCTCGGAGGCCAAGGAAAGCCAGGAACAAGCAGCTAGGCCTGAGGTCTGGATAGATAGAACTGCCCTTTTGAAGCCCCGCTCGCCTTTGGACACCATCCCATGTCCCAAGGTGCCAATCCGGGCTCTTGGAAAGCTGGAGCTTCGAGCTCAGAAAAACCCAAGAGTGGTCAAACAAGTTTGACCACCTGAAAGCCAAACTGAAGCCCTAGGCTTGAGTTAAATGCCGGTTCTGATCGCATGGCTGAAGCGACTCACTTCATCGTTTTAAGCCTTGCACTTTTCGTGTTGCCTGCGAGCGGTTGAACTGCTTGGCAGTCGCTCGGCCTAAGCCGTTTCGTTGCGTCCAAGTCCTGCCCAGCGCGAACATGTGCCAAGCTCAGGTGTTCAAGGCTCCAAGGCCGAAAATGTAGGCGATGCATACGAGACGCGAGGATCAGCAAGCACTTGGTTCGGCAGCTAATCAATCCCTGGTTGATGGATGAGGGGGGGTGTCCCATTTAGGAGGGTATCGTTCACTCTTCGGGAGGTCGACGTTATTCATATGAACCTTCTTGGTGGCCTTGATCTAAATTTTGAAACGACGCACGTTCAGGGCAGGGGGCGAGGTCACGCGTGCATGAAACCTTGCGGGGCCAAGGCTAAGACACCTCAACAACACCCACAAACTCACATTATGCCCTCAACCATACATTTCTTTAACCCATGCCTCACCATACCGGAAACCGAGACCCCTATAGAGGTATCTTACCCACCTAAAACCATGTCCGTAGCCTGACCCGTATTCCACGCTTGCCGGCGTTCGGAAAGGCTCGGCAAATCCCACCCCATGCGTTCGAAAACCGGCTCCCTTTCAAAGGACCCGTGAAAAGGCTGGGGCTCGTGGGGGGAGATCTGATTCGGGGATTTCCTTTCCGGAGGTACTGTGGATGGACGAACCATCCGTTCACATCACCGTGAAACCCCCGGGTGTCTGATTCGATCCCCCAACGCACATGCCAACCAACCTTATGGTTTCAACCATGGTTTCAAGGTGGTGCAGGGTTTTGTCCATCCACAGTATCAACCACTATTTGGGGTGATAATCCCATGGCGGCTCCCCTTTTTGGGAGGCCTGTGCTTCAACCATGGATTCATTTCGTGGTGCGTGCCCAAATCCTGCACCACCGTTCAGAAACCCTGGTTTCTGATTCGATTCCCCAACGAAAATACCAACAAACCTTATGGTTTCAACCATGGTTTCAAAGTGGTACAGGATTTTGTCCATCCACAGTATCAACCACTATTTGGGGTGATAATCCCATGGCGGCTCCCCTTTTTGGGAGGCCTGTGCTTCAACCATGGATTCATTTCGTGGTGCGTGCCCAAATCCTGCACCACCGTTCAGAAACCCTGGTGTCTGATTCGATTCCCCAACGTAAATACCAACAAACCTTATGGTTTCAACCATGGTTTCAAAGTGGTGCAGGATTTTGTCCATCCAAACCCTGGTTTCTGATTCGATTCCCCAACGTAAATGCCAACAAACCTTATGGTTTCAACCATGGTTTCAAAGTGGTGCAGGATTTTGTCCATCCACAGTATCAACCACTATTTGGGGTGATAATCCCATGGCGGCTCCCCTTTTTGGGAGGCCTGTGCTTCAACCATGGATTCATTTCGTGGTACGTGCCCAAATCCTGCACCACCGTTCAGAAACCCTGGTTTCTGATTCGATTCCCCAACGCAAATGCCAACCAACCTTGTAGTTTCAACCATGGTTTCAAAGTGGTGCAGGATTTTGTCCATCCACAGTATCAACCACTATTTGGGGTGATAATCCCATGGCGGCTCCCCTTTTTGGGAGGCCTGTGCTTCAACCATGGATTCATTTCGTGGTGCGTGCCCAAATCCTGCGCCACCGTTCAGAAACCCTGATTTCTGATTCGACTCCCCAACGCAAATGCCAACCAACCTTATGGTTTCAACCATGGTTTCAAAGTGGTGCAGGATTTTGTCCATCCACAGTCAACCACTATTTGGGGGTGATAATCCCATGGCGGCTCCCCTTTTTGGGAGGCCTGTGCTTCAACCATGGATTCATTTCGTGGTGCGTGCCCAAATCCTGCACCGTTCAGAAACCCTTTCTGATTCGATTCCCCAACGTAAATGCCAACAAACCTTATGGTTTCAACCATGGATTCATTAATCCTCAGATCCCCTGCAAAAAGTGACGAACTTCTCTCACTGGCTGAGTGGATGGCCAAAAAAAGTCTAAACTTTATATTTACCACTAAAATGGTCTTCTCAAAAAGTCTAAAGTTCATGAACTCAGGAAGGAACTTCTGGTGGCTCAATGGAAACCAACTCGCTGCGCAAGCAGCGGTCCAAGGGGATCTCTTTGGGCTCCCCTCCGCACCGAGGGATCAGCAGCAACTCCGCCGAAACATCCTGGGGCGCAAGGCGCAAGGCGCAAGAACTCAGTGGCGAAATCTGCGAAAAGTGAATCACTTTCAGTGGTTTCATACAAAAAAAGAAAGAAATGAGTTGGGTTACAAAAACGTTAAAGTCAAAGTTTCACTTTTAGCGGTTTAATACGGAAAACCCGTGAGTTGGGTTACACAAAGTTCTCAAGTCCCAACATCCCTTGGCAAAATGCACCAGAGTTCATGAGGACGTTCAGCACATTGGCGCTTTCATCGCATGTGGATCAAACGCCATCTGAACTCCACACTTGGCTTCGGCATCCAAAGTGCTATGGATGGGCTGGCTGTAGATCTTTGTAGGCGCATAACGTGGGTTTTGGGTAGGTTGGGGTGGATTGTGACAGGGAAAATGGCTGGCCACTCTTGGTGGTACTGAGTTGGAGTCCAAAATAAGCTGATGAAGTACCTGGACCCTCAAACTACCCGTAAAATTGTCGATTGACCTCAAATTATGGTGTTCAAATGGCAGCTTGACGCTAGGTCATGAAGGAATGTTTCGCGTTTCGGCGAACCCGTGTTCTTTGCAAGACTGACAGAAGAAAACACCGTTAATGAGCTTCGTAAATAGGCGCGAAGAGCGGTCGATCTTTTTTGCCTTCCGGAAGTGGATCGATCCATCTTATGATGGCGTTTGAGTGCCTTTGGGTCGCTTCCAAGGAGAGCCGAGAGTAAGGCTCAGCTGCTCTTGCACCTGGCTGCTGTCTCCGCCTTCTCCGGCATCACCCCAGGTCACAACAGCCCCGGATTCAAGAATGGCAGCAAAAGCACGGCTAGTCGCTTGGATGTACTTGACGTTCCTCAGCTGATCTTGCACCCCGCTGCTGTCTCCGCCCCAGTCTGGATCGCCCCAGGTAACAACAGCCCCAGATTCAAGAATGGCGGCAAAAGCACTTTCAGTTGCTTGGATGTGCTGAACGTTCCTCAGCTTCTCTTGCACCCCGCTGCTGTCACCGCCATGATTGGGATGACCCCAGGTCACGACAGCCCCAGATTCAAGAATGGCAGCAAAAGCAATGTCAGTTGCTTGGATGTGCTGGACGTTCCTCAGCTGCTCTTGCACCCCGCTGCTGTCTCCGCCGCAGTCTGGATCGCCCCAGGTAACAACAGCCCCAGATTCAAGAATGGCGGCAAAAGCACTTTCAGTTGCTTGGATGTGCTGGACGCTCCTCAGCTTCTCTTGCACCTGGCTGCTGTCGCCGCCGAGTTCTGGATGACCCCAGGTCACAACAGCCCCGGATTCAAGAATGGCAGCAAAAGCACCGGCAGTTGCTTGGATGTGCTGGACGCTCCACAGCTGCTCTTGCACCCGGCTGCTGTCTCCGCCATAGTCTGGATGACCCCAGGTCACAACAGCCCCAGATTCAAGAATGGCAGCAAAAGCTCCAGCACGAGTTGCTTGGATGTGCTGGACGTTCCACAGCTGCTCTTCTACCTGGCTGCTGTTGCCGCCATGATTGGGATGACCCCAGGTCACAACAGCCCCAGATTCAAGAATGGCAGCAAAAGCAATGTCAGTTGCTTGGATGTGCTGGACGTTCCTCAGCTGCTCTTGCACCCCGCTGCTGTCTCCGCCTTCAGTGGCATCACCCCAGGTCACAACAGCCCCAGATTCAAGAATGGCGGCAAAAGCACCGTCAGTTGCTTGGATGTGCTGGACGCTCCTCAGCTTCTCTTGCACCTGGCTGCTGTCTCCGCCAGCTCCTGGATTGCCCCAGGTCACAACAGCCCCAGATTCAAGAATGGCGGCAAAAGCACTGTGAGTTGCTTGTATGCGCTGGGCGTTTCCCAGCTGCTCTTGCACCTCGCTGCTGTCTCCGCCATATTCTGGATCACCCCAAGTCACAACCCCGTTCCAGTGAAAAGCGAAGGCCCTCCTAGTGGAAGCCAGTTTGCCCAGCTCCGCAACCGCAATCACTACCTCCCCATCTCGCAACCCAGCCTCGCTCAGCGTGGCCTTCAAATCGAGCTGCTGGCCTTTCGCAGTGAGCTTCAAGCGGCGCTGGAAATGCTGCTGTGCAGCAGCCTTCAGCTCGCTGATGGCCGTCTCCGGTGAGACTGCTATGGAGCACACAGCTCCACTGGGCAAGCAAACATCCACCTTCATACCTTCATGGCACAGGAACGTGATTCCGGGTGCATTCAAGTTTTCCTGAGACACGGAAACCAGAGGAAAACCACAGTCTCGCATACGAATCATGCGGCTATGGGCCAAAACCCAAATCGGTTAGCCCCCAATGAACATCAACCAATCCAACCACTAAAAAAGGAACCCTAAAACGGGTGGTGCACCGGTGCACCTCGCCCAAAATGGGATCCCCAAACGGTGTTGACAACGGCCATGTGCGATGGATCTTGAACCCTTCCCGCTTTGGCCAAAGCTCGGCTGAAGAGATCTGCGCATGTGTAACGGCACCGCGCACAGGGATAGGTCGAGCCCAATCCATGGGGGTTGTTGGGAAACATGTTACATTTTTGCTTATTGTGGTTTAGTCTTAGGGGTAACTTCCAATTCCATTCTTAACCCAGGGATCCGGATCTTTCTAGAAAACCAAACCAAAAACTCTGCAAAAAAATGGTTGCTTTCTGCTCCGCTGCAGAAGAAGTGAATATAACCTTTAGTGGTTTAATACGGGGGAGAACAAAAAAAAAGTGGTCAAAAAGTTCTCAAGTCCTAACATCCCTTGGCCACATGCACAGAATCCGCTTCCAAGCTGTGGCCTTATCTCGTCTCGGTTCCCCAACCTGGAAATAAAAAACGGAACCCCTGACTCATCTTCACGAAATATGGACCACAGGAAACTTGGTCAAAACGTGGATTCGCTTTGGGCACCTGAAAGTTGAACATCGTCAAAACCCAGGGTCTAGAGTCAAGTTCTTCTTGCAGCAATTCACCCACCTGAAATGGGCTCGTATCTAGGCTTGGTACCCGTTGTTTTGTAGCTCAGGACAACCAAAGGGAAAACCGTTTCGCCGTTTTGGGGGGGGGGGGGGGTGCCCCCAAAAAAAGATGCGACTGGGTTCCCTATATTCCGTTGGATGGTTTAAGCCCTATATGGCGGGCCGAAACTGGAAAGGCAACAGTGGAAACATGCAAACCTTGAATGTTCACCCACCAATCACAGTGATGAACCAATCATACCCCTGGCAATATTGGCTCTAGCCAGCTTTGAGCAGGCGCCTATGCCAAAATCTTCTGACCCAAATCCTTAGAGTAGGTGGGAGACATTCCGTGTTGCGCGCCTGTCCATCTCGGATCAAGCCGCGATGCTTCACACACTTTTTGCTTGGAAAGCTCGACAAAGGATGCGCCCCCGCTCTCCAGAACCGCGCGCTTTCTGTTGGAAACATTGGCTTTTGTCACTCCTGCAATGCGTGATGGTCGTTTCCAGCACAATGCTTGAACATTGTTGCACCCAACTTCTTGAAGCAGGTCTGCCCACGCGTTTAAAACTGCCAGAACCGAACAAAACCAAAAGATAACACGCTGGTACTGCAGGTGGATGCGGCTTGAGAGTTTTGTGCTCCCCCAAATCCCCCACCCCGCCCCCCCAATACCCTCAGAACACATGTTGCAACTCAGCCATGACGAGAGGCGTGAGCAAATCGCGTGGTGATTAAACACGCCCCCCCCCCTCACGGAAATGTATCATCAAAGCAGGCCAAGCAATCTAACATCCTCCCCTCACATCACATGGGTGTATCCTTCTTTCGGGGACCCGCCATTCTTGGGTGGTTTGGTTTTACCTGCCAAAAAAAGGTACCCCCCCCCCCCCCCCCGCCAAAAAAAAAACGATAAGAAAATGGGTGTTTCCTTTTGATCAGGGGGCCCACCATGTTGGATGAATTCCTTTTGGTGTCCCTTGACGCCTACCAAAAAGGGCTACCCCCCGAAACATACCCCTGACTCCAAATACCCACTTTTTTTAGCGTATCATGTCGACCCTCTACTAAAAAAGGAGGTATTTACCTTGAAAACCCGGATCTTCCAAAAGATACCCTTAAAAACACGGGTATTTGGAGTAGGGGGTAAACAACCCCCCCCCCCCAACAAAAATCGCTCCTCGGCCATGCGGAAGACCTCGGTGCCCTGCGACAGGCCGGCCAAGTAGCTCAGCAGCCCCGGCGCGTGGAAGCGCGCGGGGTTCTTCGGCACCACCTCTCCGGAGGGAACGAAGATGTGGCTATGAACTTTAAGGGACCCGAAATGGTGGACATCATTTAGGTGGGGATTCATGTACACCTATCACTTTTGAGGTTCCCTATTAAAATTCATGGCCATGTGGGCGGGGCGTTCCTTCTTCCCGTGCCCGTGCTTTATTTTGGGGGCAGAAGACCAGGGCCTCCTCCAGTTTTGGAGGTTAGAATCAGTCGGTACCGTTTTCTTTCTGTCTGTTTTAGGGGAGATTCCTCCCAACCAAAAAAGGGGCGAGAAAGGGCACCTAGCTGGGGGACCTAGGTAAAAGGTGGCTTCGGGGCTTTTCTAGGGTAGGCGACCTGTGCATTTTGGTCTTTCTTCTAATTAAAAAAAAAGAGAACCCATCCATTTCTGATCAAAGTACGATTCAAAAGGACACCCTTCGCCATGGATTGGGCCCCAAGGTGTCCCTTCAAGAGGAAACTGATCTTCCAGGTTTTCGTTTTCAGAGTTGGCCATGGCAACGTGGGAAGGGTGAGTGTCTCAAACAAAACAATTTTGGACCACAAAAGTGGCGCAAAAAGGGTTCCGAGCCAAAAAGAGAGACCCACTACGGCAGCTCTGCTGCCGGACTGCCGCAAAGCTACTGCATGAACAAAAGGAGCTATGTGTGTTTTATTCAACGAGATATGTTGAATGGTCCACTTCTGCATAGCTTTGTCCGTGGTTGGACCCTGAGTTTCTCTTAGGAGATGAGCAAAAAATGCTTCCAACTGAACACAAGTACAGCGACCAGCGAGAAAACTTTCACATCTCAGGGCCTTTTCCTTGTGCTTCGGCTGTCCAAGTCCAGTACTTCTGCTTGCAAGTGGATCTAAATCCTGCACCTTGAAATGGCCACGCCCAAATTCCGCCACAGAGAAGGCACTTTGGGCGTCTCTCCGCGCCGAAAAGGCCGGAGCTTTCTTTTCCCGTTCCGGCGGCCTGAGATCTGAAGTGCCATTGGCCTCACGTCCTTAAGGAGAAATCCGCGGAACCCATCCCAATTGTGGCTTGAAACGGTCAGCGTTGAGTGCCCTTGGGGAGAAAAAAGAACCCGGAACTTCCCGGTAAATGAGGCAGAACACCTATCCAAACCAGTGGAACGCTGTCTATTGCTAGTCAAACTAACCTAAAAAAGGCGGACAAAAGAAATCCTTGCCAAGACGCATAGTAGTTCTCCGTGATGGTCCAGTCGTGCGCCACCTCGATGCCGAAATCACGGCACTCAAACTCAATCTAGCCTAATCTCTCTTGGGCAAAGCAGTCGCAGCACCTCTATGCGTTTGCATACTTGGGTGTGTCTTTTTGCTGGGGGACCCCCCAAAATGCCTTCGGTTCTTCCTTTTAGTTCCCCTTTGAACCACCAAGGGTACCAACTCCAAAGAAAAGACACACCCACGTTCGTACATTCGTACACACCCACATTCGTAGGTGACCTTTTGCAGAAGTAGATTGGTTTCCATGGTAAAAGGGTAAAACACAAATCTATTCCGGTGGAACCTATGTCTAACCAAACTCGCCGATCGCAACGACACCTGTGACGGCGCTAACACCCCAAGACCACGTTTCTTTTGAAGGGACTTTTCGGCGGGTTCCACGTTACTCGGCCGTCCTCAAATGCCACGCTAAAAGTGACTAACTTTTAGTGGTAATTGCGGAAATCCAACCACCTAAACCAGCTAAGGAACCGGATGGCTGGGAGCCAGGTCAATGACTCAGGTCACTGGATCAGACATAGATGGGTTCCACTAGATCTGTTTCTCCCCGTATTTACGTTGACCGAATCAGAAACCAGAAAGATTCTGAACGGTGCAGGATGGTGCGATTTCTGGATTTCGCAACCACCAACTGCCGGCACCCTCCTGGGATCCAGGCCATAAAGCTGGTCCGATGGGATTTCTCCTCAAGGCTCCGGCTGGATCTCGGTCTTTTTAGGGTTTGGATCCCCAAAATAAAGATGCTCCTCTTGGCTTCCCGCAAAAAACCACAAAAAAGGTGACCCTCAAAGAAAGACACGCCCATTTCCTCTTTTGTAAACTTAGGCTACACACTCATTTACGCATGTTGGTCAAAGATCAATGGCACACTGTCTGACAAGGTGCCTCGTTCAGAGGCAGTTGACCATGTTGCTCCATTCCCCAGTGTTGCTCAAACTTAGTCTTGCCTCCCGGGGAACAAACAAATGCTGGGAGAGCAAACAATCATGAATTGCAGCAGGCATGCCTCTTCCAAACATGTGCTGGAGATATGCTTTTAACAGTCAAAGTTAGACCTGCAGTATGTCAGAAGAGTCGTAGATCCTGGTAGAATTCCTTGGTTCTCGCACAAAGAAATGCAAAGGTGATAAGTTTACACGCAGAAACAAACATCTAGTACGCTGCCAAGCTATATACGATAGGCCTCATTGGCGATTGTCTACATCAAGGGTGGTTCATCTCAATGCTCATCAAATACCATGATCAAGGGCTAATGTCTATCATCTGCAGCAAGTGCGTGACTCGTTCACGAACAAACACATGCACACACACACACACACACAGAGAGAGATAGAGACGCATACGCTTGGGGGATGTCTTTTTGTTGAGGATACTCCTTTTCTGCGGTCGTAAAGGGAAACAAAAGCAAAACCATGATGTTTCGGGATCCAACCTTTAAAAAGACATGCCCATTTAGCTGCACCTTGTAAGTATTCAACATCCGACATGCAACTTCACGGTGGCGTTGCACCAGAGCACCGTGTCAGCCTGATGTGGCCAAGTGTCAGCAACAAGCTCACCGGCTGAGTTGTACTCATGGAACCTGGGATTGGGATAAGCTCGTCACCATTGACTCGCATGAGCAAGGCCGCAAACTTGCGGATACCCTCCCTCCCACTAACATAGCAACTCGGGGAGAGTACCTGGAAGATACATTTCCTCCTGAATGCCCCTGTCAGGTGCCATGTTAGCGGAAGGGAGGGTATTGGCCAGGACATCGAAATATGACTTCGTTCAGTACAGGCACAACAGTCTTGTCGCCAAGATCTCGTCTGGATCGCTGACATAGCTGATGGAGAGGTAAACAAGACCTGTCAACAAGTTGCGTCGTCGCTGCATTGTATGCAGTTGGGGGGTGTCTTTTTTTAGGGGACCCCCCAAAATGGCTTCGGTTTCCATCTTACTGTCCCTTCAAAACCACACAAAAGGGCTAGCAACTGCAAAAAGACGGACCCAGTTGGTGTTCCTTCGGACTGATTTCCGATCCTTTCGAGCACCCCGACCTGAAGAGTGGTCAAAGCACCCAGCTTTGAGGCAGTCGTGTGGACTTTTGGCCTCCATCAAAGGGCCAAAGTGTGTCACCAGGTCCCAGTCCAAAACCTTCCTATGCAATGTTGACCCAGGATCTAAGTAGAACCCGTCCCATCATTAGGGGGGTGGTGTTCCCCTTTTGTAGTGGTCTGAATCCCCACTAAAAGGGGACACCCCCCGATGAAAATCAACCAGGTGTTCTACTTGGATCCGGGGTTAACATTATGGGTCAGAATTGGAAAAACCACCTGGGACCTTTTCGGTAGTCCCCACTTCCACTTTCGAGGGTTCGATCTGTGCCGGATGTTTGAGCCACAGCCCCAAACTGGCAGGTGTCCCGAACTTCCGGGGCAACCCCTCAATCAAAACGAAAAAGAAGGGGGCACAACCCATAGAAACATTGCAAGTGCCAAGACCCCATTCCAGACTTGCCAAAGGGATCTGCCTCAAACAAACGATGGCAAGTGATTCCAATATGTTTCTCCAGACCCGGTGCGGGTCATAATCAAAACCCGGTTATCAAAATGGTCGTCCCAGAACCATGCTTCAAGAATTAAGAAGGCGGAATTCCGATTCGCTATTTATGGCAAGGGGATTCTCCCTTAACCTTCACCTACCCGAATCCGTTAGCACGTGGCCCCGACGTCACGCGCGCGAGCGCGCGAGATGCGAGCGGCTCTCGCCGAGGGGCGGTCGCGCGCCACGTCGCAGCGCGTGTGCGCCAGCCACTTCTCCCCGGCCAGGCCGGGCAGCTCCGCAGGGCCCAAGGTCGCCAAGGTCTCAGGGTCCTCGAGCGACTCGGAACCTGAAATATTTCGTCTTCCAAAATTTCGACCTCATACCCTAAAAAAGGAGGGTATTGGGTGTAAGGGGTAGGTCCTCCAGTGGAGAGGTTAGAAGAAGGGTACCAACCTTTACTGGTCTCCGTCTCATGAGAGAACCCTCCAATGGGCTGAGGTGGTTTTTGGGGTTCTTCAACTGGGTCCTCCAGTTTTGGAGGTTAGAATAAGTTGGTACCCGATTTTTTTCTGTAGTCTATTTTAGTAGGGGAACCCTACCAACCAAAAAGGGGTGAGAAAGGGCACTACTGGGGGGCCTCCCCCAAGAAAACAGTGGCTTCAGCTTATGGCTTCTCGAAAAAGGCAGAGCCAAATAGGGGAAGACGTTGAAGGCTGGCGTGTGGGATTCATTGCTTGTCACTTGTCAGTCATTGAGTAGCAGGGCAGGCTGGGTGTATATATATATATACATGTGGCTGTGGCTCCAAAAAATGGTACCAAAATGGAACCCTGGCAAGTGGAAACATGGACCACAACCTGCGTAACCCCTCCTGGTTAATTTTGAGCCACACGCATGTGTGTGTGTGTGTGCAACAGCCGAGAATGCAAGACAGTGGTGGTGACATAAACAAGCACAGGCCTTTCCGCACCACCGGCTCCCTGAGCCAAACTCTGGGAATGATTTGCCATCCCAGGAATTTATGTTCTGCACTTAGAATCAGACTCGCACACCAGCATGGGGGGGGGTTTGGGGGGGGCGTCTTTTGTATGGGACCCCCTTAACAAAAACAAAACAAAACACAAATGTCTTGTTGGTTTACTTGTCGAATCACAAAAAATGGCACCCTCAAAGACAGACACACCCTATGTTTGATCCACCGGTCTACATGAGGCGGTTTAACCGAGCAATCAAATGACTTGTTCCAAATAGCCCCGCCTGCAAAGCAGTTTCTGCCCAAGTTGTTGCAATGAATAAAACATCTCAAATGGCTGTGGTTGTCAAAAATATGGTAACCCCAATTTAGTCGGGAATTTAGTGGGGATTGGGCTGGGGTACGATTTGGATTTTGACCCATAGCGAGTTTCATACCTGCCAAGTGCGTGGCTGAGGACAAAGCTTTGAAGGAGATCCCACCACACAAGTTCGTGCTGGCCTCAAAATGGCCGTGGTCGCCAAAAAACCGATACCAAAATGGAACCTTGGTAAATAGAAAGAAGGACTAAAAGCTGCGGTCCGATTCCTGGTGGTTTAATTTTGACCCACATCCAAAGCATGTTTTGCCAGTTCTGCCTCTGTTGTTGAAAAGAGAGAGAGAGAGAGAGAGAGAGAGAGAGAGAGAGAGAGAGAGAAAGATCTTCTCATGCACGTCCCGATCTATCCCAAAGAGAACCCAGTCCAACGATATTGACAAATACGAAACAAATCAAGAAACACAAAAGACAAAGCTCAAAGCCCAGAACAGAACAGGAAGAAAAAAAACTTGGAAACAACTCAGATAAAACTGCTCCCACCACTTGAGCTTGAGACTGAGTCTGGAGCTGAGTTTTGTTGGTCTTGTCTGAGCTGTTTTTGAGTTGTTTCTGAGTTGTTCCTCGTGTTTTCTTGGTGATCCTGCAGATTTCCCAAGCCACTGCCTGAAAACTCAGAAAGACACACAAACAGACTCAGGCAAAACTCAGCCCCAAACAGACTTGAAGGAAACTGGGCGAGGTTGGCAAGATTTAAGTTTCTCTCCAGATTTGAGAGCTTTCTCAGTGAAAACTGTCAAATGTCCTCGCCAACCAAACCCCGCCCCCCCCCCCTCAAAAAAAAAATGCACAGCTTTGGAACACAAAAGATCAGCTCCCGCCTCACACTCAAGTGAGGGGAGCGAGCTCAAAGCTGGCTTTGGTCTGAGCTTCTGAGTTGAAGGCTGAGCTTGTGCTGTTGTTCTTTTGAGTCGTCCTGTGTTGTTTCCATACTTTCCCATGTTTCATTTGAATATTGGTTTTCACTTCAGCTTTTGAGTTGAAACGGAGTTTTTGGCGGTGCTTCTGAAACAACTCCTGTCTGAGCTCCGGTCATAACTCCAAAATTGCAGCCCTGGAATATGGAATTGAACCAAAGAATCGGAAGCTCCACTAGCTCTCGTTTTTTTTGGCGCGGGAAGTTCCCCTTTTTCTTGTGGCGTTAGGACGCCAGAGGAAAGCGCCGCCATTTTGAAAAGGGGTCCCCCAAAAGAAACACCCAGTGACAATCCAAGAAACCGAAACTATTTTGGCGGGGTCCCCCAACAAAAGAAACACCCAGCTAAGAAAACTCCTCAAACTTGCTGTCTCTGACAAGTCTTTCAGGTTCGAAAACAAGTGATCGCTGGTGGTCAGTGTCGGGAACACCAAGATCATAGACGGTGCGTCCCTTGTGACAAGCACTCCATCAAATCAACTGTAGCATATTGGCCGAGATTCCAAGGCCATTGGAGTGTCGTTGTCACCTTGCAAGCAAGCAGCAACAACCCTGATGCCCTGCTTCAAAGGCTTCCTATTGTGGATGGACGAAATCCTGCACCGCCTAAGAAACCCTGGAATGATGGTTCCCCAGTATATAAATACCAACAAACACGGGTTTCCCATGGTTTCAAAGTGGTGCAGGATTTCCACAGAAGGTGTGAAGTCAGACGGCAAGACATCCATAAACAGATTGCTGATGCCACCCAATAATCTTGAACAAGGCTTTGGCCCTATCTGAGGTGACATAAACACGGCGGCAAATTAGGGACAACCATCTTTCAAGCAGTTGCCAGCATACTTGATTGGAGCAGCGAACATCCTGACCAAGCCCCAAGTCGTCTGACCTGTGTGCAGATTAGTATATATATATATATATATACACGTGTTGATTTGTTTTGTCTGTGGCTCACCTACACACCACCTCACATGCTGTGCCCACGCAGTCCCTTCAACCAAAAAAATCCCCAGTGCATTGACGCCAAGCGGCCGCTGGCCAACAGCACCATGTCCGCCTTGCTCCGAGGCCAAAGTCGGCAAGTGAGATTCCTCAGAAAGCCACGCTGCACATATTGCTCATAAGTCCCCACGTGCCCAAAAAAAACGCGCACCAAAACACCGCGCACAGGGATAGGTCGAGTCCAATCCATGGGGGTTGTTGGGAAACATGTTACATGTTTGCTTATTGTGGTTTAGTTTTAGGGGTAACTTCCCCATTCTAAACCCAGGGATCCGGATCTTTCTAGAAAACCACCACCAAACACCCTGGGAAAACAGCGATCGGATTTTGAAAAGAACGATGGTTAAAAAGAATGGGGAATCAACCGTTAGAACACTGAGTTCTTCTTGCTGGTGCTCAGCAGGGAATGAGGGAATGAACCCTATAAACCATCCCTTGTGGTTTCCTTTAAGGGAATTTCAAGGTTAATTCACTCATTCCCTACGGAGCACCAGCAGGTTATAGAGAAGGTTGGGATTGCATGCAAGCTTGACACATTTGGGTTTGACCTGATCCCTCTGTAACCCTCTTGCGGCATCTGTTCTCACCCGCGCAAAGTTCGGAGAAGCTTGCAGTAAAGTGCACGTGTCCTTGCCCACCCCCTAGAAAACCTCCCTGGCAATACATGCTGGAAATGCCAACCCATTCGCCTTGGAAACAAAACAACCGAACGGAAAGACATTCCTCACCTTCCATTTGCTTAAGCCTCCTGGAAAACAAAATGTCCAGTAGTGATAGATTCCCTCTAAAAACCAACAGGGGACAATAAGAAATACTCTTAAGCAAATGGATGTCACCAAACTCTGCCACGTGTCGCCGTCTCCCGTGTCCGCGGCGACAAGGCCTCAAGCCGGCTTGGGTTGTCCGGTCACCAAGACCAAAGATGGCCTGAGGACTGCTAGAACATGAAAAAATGTCCAAGTGATTCTACTAGGTCCTCCAGTCTTAGAGGTTAGAGTGAGGGTACCTGATGTTTTGTCTGTAGTCCATTTTAGTAGGGGAACCCTCCCCCAAAAAAAGGGGTAAAAGGGCACTACTGGGGGACCTAGTCTATCTCTCTAGAGCGACGATTCTCTTTGAGAAAGCCAGCCACATGAACAGGGATCCTTACATTTTACACCTGAACATTGCAACTTGTAAATGGTGGTTTCCAACTTGATTTTGGTGTGGAAAAAGCCATGTTTCAAATGGTTGCAAAATGTACTTTTTAAGGAGCCCTGATGAACAACTAAGAAATATTGACCCCCTTGAAAGTTCAAAGGCCGGGCTTTCGAGACAGCTCTGTGTGTGATTTTTTTCCAATTCCAAAGCTGAATGCAGGGATCCTTGCCCGCAGTTCGGACCTTCCTCATGGCTGTGGCTCGTGAGAAACAAAAAAAAACATCGGTGAGCTCGCCACAAAAGAGGCAGAGACATGTGGGTCAAACCCCAGTACCCCCAGTGAACATCCCAATCCAACCACTAAAATAGGTTCTAAAATCTATGGTGAATTCACCAATCCCCAAAATGGGATTCCCAAAACGGTTCCCAAAATGGGATCCCAAAACGGTTTTGACCACCGCAGCCACGTGTGCAGGTCTCGTCTCTTGCGAGACAGGCCGCGTTCAGCAGCCCGAAAGGCAGTCCAAAGTCCACCACGTTCGAGAAGACTCCTGCGGGTTGATACGGTGACCCGGATCTAAGTAGAACCCGTCCCATTAGGGGGGTGTTCCCTCCAAAAGTGGTCTGAATCCCCACTTTTAGTGGGGACACCCCCCGATGAAAATCAACCAGGGGTGTATTAATCCGGGGTTAACATTAGTGTGGACCTTCCAAATGGCTTCGGGACCCGTTCCTGGTGGTTATCCCGTGAAAAAGAAACACCCAAAAGGGGGTTGTTGGGGCGTCCGGTTTCCCCCTTCGGTACCCTCATAAGCAGAAATACCACACATGGTGTTGCCTTTTTGTTGGCTTTCCTTTAAAACCCCCCAAAAGGGGTAGTTCCTGGTGGTTTCCCGTGAAAAACCACCCAAAAGAGGGGTACCCTCATAAGAGAGGAAAACGGCACATGGTGAAAGTTTTTTTGTTGGCTTGGGCTTAAAACCACCCAAAAGGGGGGGGGGGGGGGGGTACCCTCATAAAAAGACAGCCCAGACAGTTGCAGAAGCTGTAACACATGAACGAAGATGATGGCATCAAGCCTTGTCAATGAGACCGCTCACATGTCCGGGCAACCATGGATATGTTGCAGGCTTGGTGGTTGTCCGGTTGTTCAACCGCGGTGCAATTTGCACCCAGTCCTCTGAACAGGGGCCGTCCCGCAGCGCGCTCAATGGTTGAGCATGGCGTCTCCACAAAACGCCCTCGATAAGTTATGGAACCTGGGCGCGGCGTTCCACATGTGACTTGAATTGGAGACGTGTGTGGGAAGATTGCAGGGTGATGGAGCGACTATGGGCGAAGAGATCCTGCTTCCCCATGGTAATTGATCAGGTTCTCCTTGATTGGTCTTTTGCATTGGTTTGAGGATTTGAACGGGTCCCTGGTTCTTGTAGAGGGTAAGTGGGAAACCACCCAACCTCCACACCTCCGAAACGATTCGGACAGCTGAAGTGAGTCATGTGGCGCTCTCTGAAACGTAAAAGTAAACCTGAGGCTCCCAGCCATCTCCGTGGAAACAGAAGGAGCGCATAAAGCCGTGCGCTTCGAAGGGGTGCACAAGTCGGCCCCCCTGGTCGCAGCTTGCAAGGCCTCAGGGCCCTCTCCGACGAATCTGCAAGCGCGGCGAAGGACGCAGCTCCAAGCAATGCATCCTATTTTAAGGGGACCCCCCCGCGCAAAAGAAAGAAAAGACATGCGTTTTCCTTTCGGCTCGCCTTTAAAACCAACGCAAAGGGGGGTACCCACCAACAAAAAGCTGCCAGCGACCGCACATCAGACAGGCTGCCCAAAAAGTGTCAGCGGTTTGCGCAAGGGCGAGGGAGTCAGGGTAGAATCGAAAAGGACAAACCAAAGACGTTCCCACCCAAATCAGCTTCATCGTACTTCTGGGCTTCGATGGGTTTAAAGGTAGTCTGGGGGTGGTTACCCAGTTGCCCTCCACAAGAAACAGGGATTCGATTCGGTCAAATCCAAATCACCAACAAAAAAACTGGATGTTTTTCACACCAACACGCACAAACCACCAAATGGAATTGGGTTGCCCTCCTGTCCACCAACATGGAACCTGACGTTTTTTCTGGTCCTGGTTTGGTCAATTGTCCTTGAAAAGGGGACCCTCTGTGGTTCTATGGCAACGTGGACAGGAGCAAATCTTCTTTCACCAAAAAGGCAAGCGAAAAAAATCAAGCGGGGTTTCCTGTTGCTTTCCTCAGAGGAAACCCACCCAAATACCCCACAAACCTCGCTAACCCAACCCAAAGCCCGGAGCCCGGCCAAGGGCCTGGCCGTTCAGGTAGTAGGTGCCGCGCAAGGCCCGCAGAGCCTTTGGCGCCTTCTCCGGCAGCTGCCACCGCTCCTGCGAAAGCGCCGATGAAATCCGCCCGTCGAGAGAATCGGGTCCTGGGATTTCGTCGAGGGGTAACCTCACAATTCTAAACCCAGTCCGAATCTTTCTAGACCACCAAACACCCAGGGGAAATGGCGATCGGTTTTTTTGAAAAGAACGATGGCTGAACAGAATTGGGCATGAACCCGTAGACTACTTGTTTATTCACCAGGGTTCCATTGTGGGCCCCTATTTGTGAGCCGCACCCACTTATCTAGAAAACCGTTTGGATGCGGCTTTTGTGGCTCCAACCCCTATAGGATACTAAAAGAGTGTTCAAAGAGTACTAAAAACGGGACCAACAGGGGGAGAACAGGAGTCCACGAAAAGCGCATCCAAATCGTTTTCGAGAAGTATGTGCATGTATGTGTGTGTCTATATATATATATATGTGTATGTACGTATGTACATATATGTTGATGGCACAGTTTGTCTCAAATGAGAGAACCATTTGGGTGTGTCCTTTTTTAGGTGTTCTTTTAGTGTCTCTTCAAAGAACAAAACAAAAAAGGGACAATAGAAAAGACAGTCCCATGCAATATTATATTTATATATATATATAGACAAAGAGAGAGAGAGAGAGATCCTCAAAAGAAAACAAATTGATATTGGTGGTATCTGCATGTCTGTCAAGTGCGTATACACGTGCACGGTGTGATGTACCATTCTCACATGGATTCATCGTGCGCTGCTTCACCACCTGCCACACGTGCATCCGCTGTGTATGTGTGTGTGTGTGTGTGTCGTGTCACCCCAAGGAAAGAGTGCCACAACCTACGCTGTCCAGGAAGCTTCAAGAATTCCGGGCGGCCGAGTTTGAAGAAGTACATGGCTTGTGAGCAAGGCAGCCATGAACTCCAAATGGGTGTCTTTTTTAGACCAAACATGGCTGGGGCTTCCTTTTGGTTTCCCTGAAAAAACCAGCCCCAAAACAAGTGCCTTCAAAAAGAGAGTCAAATGCCTTGGGATGTTTCTCTTGCGCAAGCACCAAGGGAGATCCCCCAAAATCTCCATGAATCAAGCTGCAAATTAGCATGGAAGCGACATATTGAAACTGCGTTCAGTGCTGCTTGTGATGCATTTTCTGGCCAGACGACTGTTTTGTTGGGATGGTTTGGGCTTGGTCCAGGCTTGAGGCTACAGATCTAGGGCTGGAGTTGGGTCAGAAATCGATTTGGAGTTGGCTTTCGATTCTCCGGGTTCCGAACCCTTTTAAAGGGGCTGGGGCCATGAAAAATCTGGGGCAGCCACCCAAAACGGAAAAACAAATGCCGCTGAACATGGGGAAAAACAAGACACATGGGTGGGGTGGGGGTCAAAAATAGTTGGTAACCCCAAAATGGCTTGCCTGGTAAATGGAAACAAAGACAAACACCTGTGGTCCCCTGGTGGTTTAATTTTGACCCATACCCACATAAATTTGTTTCCAAAAACCGGTACCAGAAACATGGGTACCAAAACCCGCGGTTGGCCCCTCCGATCGTTTAATTTTGAGCCACAGGGTCTGGCTCAAAGTAGGGGAACCCCAAAAAATGGCCGGTGTCCCTTTGGTTTGCCTTTAAAACCATGGAAAAGGGCTCGCCGAAAAAAAGAAAAAGACCCATGGACATCCAAAGAGCCTCGAAGCGGTTGTCATAAAATTGACCAGGATCGTTGTTCGAAACAGGTTGTTCTAGGGTTGATGCAGTTGCTTAGGGTGTGGTTGATTTAGAAGAATGGGATGAGTAGAAATGAGTCTGGGTTCGGGGCTGCTCGAGACCGGGCCTTCGGGCAGTGGTTCGGGTTGGCATTGGGTTCAAGGGATGGGTTCGCAAACGTTTAACTGGTTTTGTCCGCCAACCATTTGGGAGGCTATCCCTCATTAACGTTCATAGCCATGTATCCTGTAGTGTTTCTCCCGATTCCCTTTCAAACCAAGAGAGGAAGCTTAAAACAGATTCGGCAAATGACGGACCTCTATGAATTCCCAAAATGGTGGCTACCTTTTTTGGTTGCGCCTTTAAAAACCACCATAAGGGTACCCTCAAATGGTCCGGCCTTGCCACACCGCATATCCGGTAGAACCGCCGAACAAAAATGTCGATGGGAATCGGCTTTGGGCGCTGCTTTGCATAAAACAAATCGGAGTTGGGATGCTGAACCCGCCAGACCTCTGGAGCCATATTTCAAATAGCACCCGCGTGAGAGATTCCCCTTCGGAGTCGGCATTCCAAATCCTGGCACACTGGGCTGTCGGTTTTCTGAGAACTTTTAGCGGACATGAAAACCTGTATGTGCGTATGCGTGCATGCGCGTATGCGCGTATGCGCGTATGCGCGTATGCGTGTAGGTCTGCATGTGTGTACGTGTGTATATGTATCAACCACTAAACCAACTAAAACCAACCAACAGCCCTAAAAACTCGCAACCTTCGCCTTCCGAGGCCCGAAGTGGGCGTCAATTCCCACGGACACTGGTCTAACGGTGAGAAAAATTGGGTGTGGCTCAAGATTGTTCAGAGCCAGGGCGCGGCTCTTCTTTGGTTCCATTTATCAAGGTGCCATTTTGGGCTCCATTTGTGTGAGCCGCAGCCATTGGTTTCACTTGTCGGGTCAAAAAACAAATCGCCCCGAGAGCGAACTCGCAGAAAACGGGCCGAAAGGTGTTGCAAGCCACAAAGGGAATGGTAAGGCGCCACCCGTGACATGGGTTCCCTTTTTGCTTCTTTTAACGGGAAACCAAAAGAAGACCACCATTATGGTTTATCTTTATTATTATTTTTTGGGGGGGTTATTTTGAAAAAAAGACCATATGCAAATGCACATGTTCTTTTGTTTTTTCTGCGAGGCCTTCCTGTAAGGATGATCATGGCTGCCTCATCATAAACAACTGATCTCACCTCCGCGTCGGGTCCATGTCAGTCTTTGCCACGTCATGCTCTTCACTATGTCTGGTGGTGACACCTGACTGCCCACCTCCGTCTTCTTGGGGGACCATGTCGATGGTTCTTTCACCTTGGTGTGGCTGGCGCCCTTCTTTCTGCACGCTTTTGACGCGCCAAATTGCTCGTCCATATTACGGCCACCGCATCAAGTACGGCCTCTGTTCACCCCAGGTCACAACAGCCCCAGATTCAAGAACGGCAGAAAAAGCAATCAAAGTTGCTTGGATGTGCCGGACGTTCCTCAGCTGCTCTTGCACCCGGCTGCTGTCTCCGCCATATTCTGGATGGCCCCAGGTCACAACAGTGCCAAATTCAAGAACGGCAGCAAAAGCACAGGAAGTTGCTTGGATGTGCCGGACGTTCCTCAGCTGCTCTTGCACCTCGCTGCTGTCGCCGCCATGATTGGGATGACCCCAGGTCACAACAGCCCCAGATGCAAGAATGGCAGCAAAAGCACCATATGCAGTTGCTTGGATGTGCTGGACGTTCAACAGCTGCTCTTGCACCTCGCTGCTGTCGCCGCCATGATTGGGATCACCCCAGGTCACAACAGCCCCAGATTCAAGAATGGCAGCAAAAGCACCTTTTGTTGCTTGAATGGTCTGGACGTTCTTCAGCTGCTCTTGCACCTGGCTACTGTCTTGGCCCCAGTCTGAAGAACCCCAGGTCACAACAGCCCCAGATTCAAGAATGGCAGCAAAAGCACCGCGAGTTGCTTGGATGTGCTGAACGTTCCGCAGCTGCTCTTGCACCTGGCTGCTGTCTCCGCCATTTCCTTTATTACCCCAAGTCACAACAGCCCCAGATTCAAGAATGGCAGCAAACGCACCAAGGCCGGTCGCTTGGATATGCTGGACGTTCAACAGCTGCTCTTGCACCTCGCTGCTGTCTCCGCCATATTCTGCATCACCCCAAGTCACAACCTTCCCGTGGCCATGAAAAGCGAACGCCCTCTCGCAGGCCTGCCTCAGTCAGCGTAGCCGACAAATCGAGCTGCTCGCCTCTCGCAGTGAGCTTCAAGCGGAGCTGGAAATGCTGCTGTGCAGCAGCCTTCAGCTCGCTGATGGGCCGTTTACGCGAGATTTCTACGGAGTAACCGTCTCCATGGGCAAGTGGACATCCACATGAAACATGGCGCAAGAAGCTTATTCTGGGGTGCCAAACACGAGCCTGAGACAAAAAATATGCCTGCAACTGGAGGGGGGAGTCCGCTGTTGAATGGCTCTTGCCGGGATTCAACTATTTGCAGCGGTCGAATCCTTCACGCAAAAAGATCCTTCGGGATTTGGCAGGTGAGGGTTCGGTTTGTAAAGGGTGGTGAGGGGTAGGTCGAGGTAGAAGAGGATGAGTTCTACCCGGCTCTCAAGCACTGGCTTTGGTTTGCAAAATGGGCCAGTTCAACCGCTCAAGCCGCCAAGAGGATGGATTTTAGGGGCTTCATCTCCTCTGGGTAGTAAAAGTCTGGAAGGCTCTCCCGTTCAGACCATGAAGCCAATCAGGAAAAAAGTGCACCAGCTTAGGGGCGTGGTGGGTCATGGCAATCTTCTTACTTTCCTCCAAGTTCCGCATAAATCATCTGAGGCATACATCGTTTCCGCATGCAAGACTGTTCACACGGCATCTACATTATGCTACATGTGTGCCCAAGAACCGTTTGTTTTCTTTTGTGTCCCTTTCACAATCAAGCAACTGTGGGTCCTCCATTTTCATTCTGAGAAACTCTCATATACATATACTCCGGACACCCATAGCCCACCCTTGCCATTCCATATCGAAGCATCAAGAATGAGACAATGCTGTGCTTGCTGAGGCTGTGTGTGTGTGTGTGTGCGGGCGTGTGGGGGTGTGTATGTGCGTTTGGGGGTGTGTATGTGCGTGCGTGTGCGTGTGCGTATGCGTGTGCGTGTGCGTGTGCTTGTGCGTGCGCGTGCGCGCGCACGCACTCCCACACCCACACCCACACCCACACACACACACACACCCTCACTCACACACACACACATACACACACACACACACACACCAAAAAAAAACACATAAAACAAACAAAAACGCCACACATACACACACACACACACATACACATACACATACACATACACACACACACACACACACACACACACACACACACACACACACACGCACGCACGCGCGCATGTTTGTGTGTGTGTGTGTCTGTGTGTTCCTGAGAGCGAAGCCCCTATGAATCTCCCATGCAGCGCTTAGTCGATTCTAAGTAAAATGCGCAAAAACTTGCTGCGGCCCGTTGCTTGGCTTCGAAGCAATATTCTACGTTCTGGCATGTTGAAACAAGGCGCTCCAAAATGAGTTCCCGAGATATCACTAGGCTTGAGGTGTCACACTCTGGCTGATTCGTATAGGTTTTCCTTTGGTTTCCTAGAGCAAACTGGCTCTGCCTCTTGTCGGGGCGGCCAAACCACCATCTTGGGGTCAAAAAGGACACACCTAGGAGGTGGAGGCCTCATGTTCTCCGGCTCGGCTGAGTTTTTCGCAGCCCAGCCTGGCGCTCTTGAGGACAGCTGACCGCCACCTGCACAAAGAAAGTGTAGGCATTCACCAGCCCAAGTGATTCAAAGCTTGTGGCAATTGCTTAAGAAGATGATACAGTTGCCAAACGAAAACAGAGAAAGACATGTCAGAAGCAACCATGGCAAAAAAAACCATGCTTTGTCGAATCTCTCGAATAACTGCTGCTGCACTGGTGTTGCCCTGAGGATCTACATAACTTGTGTGGGTTCGGCAAAAGCTTCGAAAAAGATGCCCGAGCAAATGGATAGTTGTCACAGACTGGCTGCGGGAACCAGTGAGAACAAGACTATTGGGCCCAGCAAGCTGCCTCCCAAAAATTGGTTTGCAGCTACAGTATTTTCACACAATCAAACTGAGTCATAATCAAAACCCAGTATTCAAAGAGTCTACCCAGAACAGTATGAAGAATTAGAATGGCGGCTGCACGCATTTATTGTTGGGAGTCTCCCCTACTAACCTTCATCTACCCGAATCGGTTTTGAGTTTGGCTCAATTGGTTCAGTACAGGTTGCACACAAAAGGTGGCTCAACTGCTGAGTTGCTTCTTTCCCACTAAAGCGGTCTTCCAACAAAAAGCTTGAAGTCCCATGAACCCCGGAAGTGAGGCGTCGATGCGACCCCGCGTCGCGTTTTTGCACACCGAAGGCGCCGAAGGCGCCTGCCGGAAGTGACGGGCATCTTGGCACGAGGCCTGGCATACAGCCCGCCTTCGAAGGCGAGAGCGATCTGGGTGTACCTGGACCCAAAATAAGAATGGGTCCATGGCCAACCATTCTTTTGGGTAGTCTGACCAACCGTTTCTAAAGGGTCATGGAGACTCCAGGTAGCTCAAGCTGTATGTAGCCAGAAAACCGCAGGTTTCAGTAACTCCTTTCTCCCCTTCGGGCAACCTGTTCGGGAGAATAGCCGCCCCCGATTTTGAAGTTGTCAACTTCCGAAAAAGGACGCGCCCACCGCACCACAGCTGCACCGCTCCGCAGCGAGACGTCCGAGCCAAGATCCCGACCCGGCGGCGGGTGCGGCGCGAGTCCGCCCGGCGCGTCAGCAGTGGGAGCGCCAAGGACAGCGATCTCAGGACGAGACGATACAAAACCAGGCCGCAGGGGTGCATTTCCGTAGGTCTCAGATGGTCTCCGGGATGGAGTGGAACGAATGGGACGATTGGGCTGGGATGCAGCAAGTCCAGTCCCGGAGTCGATTGGAATTGGTAAAACGGGGGTCACATGCAACTTACACACAGGATCAAGAGCCGAAGTAAACAAAGGCGGTAAAGGCATACACTGACCATGACAATGCAACAATATAGTATGTGAAGCCAGCAACTTGCGACGGTGTCTGCACCGGAAAAAGCCTCAACGAAGCACTCGTCCTCCTTCTTCAGACTGCCTTTTCGGCCGTCTAAAAGGGAGAAACATGTGCGCTCTGTGCGCTGTCGTGACTTGGTCACACACTCCCTCTCCTTTCCTCTCTAGCGATCTCTCCTCCACGAAGGCCCCGAAGTCGCCGGTGACGGCACACGTGGATTGGACGGCGCTTTGGAAGGCGCGGGCGGCTTTTGCGCATCCATGGCTGTCAGCATGGCTGCCTGCATTTCGGATATAGTTTGTGTGTGTGCATGGCTGCCTGTGTTTCAGACATTTACGGTGTGTGTGTGTGTGGGTGTATGCGCCTCAAATATGTAAATTTCTGTCAAATTTAGATGTCAGGGTGCCTCGCAAGCAATTCCCGTCAGCCCCCACGTTCTGCTTCTGCCCGCAGGAAATGAGCTTGGGTGAGGCGACTTAGGAAAATGGGGCTTCAAAGGTTTTAGGGGGAATGGGGGGTTGCAGGGGATTGGGGCTCTAAGATTTGAGCGGCTTCGGGTTTTGCAGGTTTAGAGGCTTAGGGCTTACAGTAATGGATTTAGGGCTGGGTCTTGTGGGTAATGTGGGTGTCTCTGTTTTACTAGATCTCCAAAAATAGATCTCGGTTTTACAATTGGTGTCCCTCAAAAACCGCCAAACAAAACGGGGAACCGAAGCTCAAACAAAGACGAGCCACCCATATATGTCTTGGGTTCAAGCAGCACATCGAGCGCAAGCAAGCACCGCTTGCTGCTCCCAAGTGCCCAGCCGGCTATGCAAACATGTTTGTCAGTGTGTGTGTGTGTGTGTACTCGCATGTCAAGTAAGTACTAATATGTATATATATATATATATATGTATTCTACACATACATATCTATTTGTATATTTGTATGTATGCGTATATATGCAGGCAACATGCACTTGTTCTCCCAGCAAATTGATGCTTGGGAATGTTCGTTCTTGGTAATTCTCCAAAATCCATACGTAGCGCATAGCAGCCAATCCATACTTGGGCATCATCGGAGAATCGGTTCAAGTCGTCTGTTCTGTTCTGTCAGTCGCCCGGGAGCCTGAAAAACTTGCGCCGGCCAGCCTCGAGAATATGTTGCGGCTCTCCTTGCAAATGTTCTCAAGAGACAAGTTGTCAACGACAAGTTGGCCATGGGTCAAAATCCAAATCGCACACCCAGTGAACATCCCAATCCACTAAAATAGGAACCCTAAAACGGGTGGTGAATTAATTCACCTACCAACCAAAATGGGATCCCACAACGGTTTTGACCACAGCCAGTTCTCAACGTGCAAACGGGTGAAGCTCATGGCTTTGGAGGCCTGAGCGCCCTGCACAAGAGAAGCCTTTCGGGAAGAGGATGTTTGCAATTTGGCACACCTGGCGAGTTGCTTCGGATCGCAGGCCATGGCGGCTGACGCTTCCTTCCTACGTCCGAGCTCTCACACTAGAAATGCAAGATGCAACACCGCCTGCCCCAAAACGTGTGGTGAATTGTTAGCTAAGCAAATGGGAAAGGGCTTGGGTAGCAAGGAACGGAGCAAAATTGGTGTCTACGAAATACGAAATAGGAGTTCATAGAAGTAAACCCTACGAGAAGCTTCTTGATTGGAGGGGGTTTGAGGATAGAGTGCTTGCAAGAGACAGTCTTCACACCATGTGGTGCTCAAAAGGCGAGGGGAGGCACTCCCAGGCGCACCCTTCGGAAGCTACAGCAGAGTGGGAGTCAATGAAGGAAAATTCCAGACAGGCGTAGGCAAAGCAAGTAGCGTTCCCCCAGAAGTTAATATTCCGGGCTGTGCTTTGAGTGACACTTGTTGCGTGTGCGTGCGTGCGTGAGTTCGTGCGTGCGCGCATCGTCTTCCAAAACAATGCCTTGAGCATGTCGATTCCACACAGCAAGACGCAAACATGTTTTGCTCATTAAACAAACGAGTGTTGCGCCGACAGACCAGGCTGGTCCCAGCCTTGAATGAAAGCCAAAACACATCTCACGTGCCCCTTGGGCCCATTTGGGGCCTGAAACAATAGGATCTTTTGGAACCAAAAGGCTAAGCATGAACCAGACGTGGAAAACCAAAAAAAAGGAACCAAAGGAAAACGCATCAACTTTTGGAAAAAAAAAACACCATGGAAAACAAATCAATCGCTCTTCGGTCAATTCGCAAACGCTTTCGGACCAGCTCCGGCCATCGCGCCTCCCCTCCTGTCGCCTGCTGCTTGCAGAGCTCTTCGAGCTTCTGCCTCGGAGTCCCCGGCAAGCTTCCGCCGGATCGATTGAAATTGGGGGGGGTTCTCAAAATAGGTGTCCCCCTCTTTTGCCGGGAGAAAACCAAAAATTAGCCAGCAAGCTTGAAAACGTCCAATTGTAAGAACCCCAAAAAGAAGCCAAGCTGGCAAAAGTCTCCAAAGATTGTGAGAACCCCTTCCGCGCCAGATTAGGTCCAGTGTCGTTTCACAAGTCTGTGTCTTTCTAGAGAAGAACCCAAAATGGCGTGCAAGTGCCTAGCACGGAATCCCAGTCTTCATTAAGCTGGTCTCATCCTGGTGAAAAGTACCGTGTTGCAGGAAAGAAACACTGATATTTGCTCGGTGTTTTTCACTACATCAAGTAAATCCGTTCTTATGCCCAATAGGTTGTCCGCAACCGGTCTGTCATACATCAAATCCCAGTGGCCACGGGATAAAAAAGGACACCCTTTTGTTGGTCGACTTTAGAGAGGAACCCTTAGCCAAAACAAAGGACAAAAGGAAGCAACCCACTGGGCAACAGAGAAATGGCCATGGGTCAAAAGCCAAATCGTACCCCCAGTGAACATCCCAGTCAAACCACTAAAATAGGTTCTAAACTGGGTGGTGCATCTACCCCAAAATGGGATCCCAAAACAGTTTTGAGAACCACTGCCAAATAAACACATGGACCGTGAGGCCGAACCTCAGACCCGGACTGCTCCAGCCCTGCCACCGACAGCATCGCCTGCCGAAACAAATGTGGGAAGGCGGTGCGGGAAAAAGAGGCACTGAACATAACGAGTCATAAGGCAAACCTCAAAACCCAATAAAACACTCAGAAGCAAACCTAAATACACCATATAGGACTCAGAAGCAAACCGAAAAACCCGAC